CTCTCCAATTTCTCAAAACAAACTCTGATCTTTCATACTTACGTCCTGGTGTTAGATGCATGAACATAAGCTGTGCCATGACATCACAATACATGTTTCATTGTCCTCTGGCAGAGGCATATCGCAAGAAATTACTTTAACTTGGTCTCTCGGACAGTTCATACCCTAACAATAGGTGGATCGCCTTCTTCTGAACAATTTGTCATTTATGGACAGGGCAGTTAGCTATTCGGTCTAAATTATGAAATGTGAATGGCATTTGTCATGTTGTAACTAAATAAAAAGCGGCTTCACATAAGAAAATATGTGAACCCATGACACTGCCTTGTTTTAAGAGATGATTTCATTTTTTTGTTCTTTTTTCCTCTACGAGAGCAGAGCTGGTTGGTGAGGTGAAGGTGGACATGCAACAGTGAAATTTGTCTGCAAATTTGGAGCCTCCCCCTCCCTCATGGCTTCCGAGCTTAGGGGAACTATTTCATTCTATATATGACATCACACTACACAAACAGAGCTTGCATTTTAATGGCATGACACTGGTTTTGTCATTTTGACAAAAACGTTTGATCCCACAGATCTCTTGGCAAAAGATACCTCAATAAAGAATATCAATAAATACAATAAAATAGCAACAGCAAGAATTTAAGATGAGTTTTTAGATAAGAAAAATCACAAGACAAACAACTTGAAACTACTCTATAATATTGCTAAATTGGTTTCTATCTGACTGTAAATAAGACAAATATACTTAATTCATTCCTGAATTAAGAAAAACTCAGGACTGTAAGCTAGAGTAAGAAGGCCAGAAAATATTCTGGAAGAAGGCAATGGTGAACTCCTACAGATAACCTTTAATTTATAGCCATTTTTCAAAAATCATTTGAAATTATGATGGCTAAAAAATTGATTTACGACTCATAACAAAAATGATTATTGTTGTACCACCCTTATGATCATGTGATTAAAATTCAGGCACCTGCATTTACAAGCAAAAGGATGCTTCAATTTCCCCCATGCCCATCTCCTCCCACCATCTCTGCTTTTTTGGCCATGTTTCATCCTGATTTTGCAGGCAGTAAGCAACTCAGAACTGCACGGTTCCTCCAGCTATCTTCTCTTCCAGTTTCCCACACCAATCTTTCACCTTTTGTGCCCAACCACTGCAGCTGAAGCAAAAATACCTTTCTGTCTTTACTGCCCCATTTTTCAGGCCCTTTTCACTGCCTTTATTGCCTCCTTTTTGGTTCCTTGTTGTCAGGCGCAAAAGGTGAAAGTTTGGTGCAAGGAACTGTGAGAGAAAGTAGCAGGACAAATGATTGCTTGCCAATGCTTGCTTGGGGTGGGATGGGGAATGAAGTAAGACATACTGGTGCTGGGGGGCACTGAGGAATAAAGAAATGCCTTGCTAGGGTAGGCTGGAGAGCAAAAGAATGGCATGTCAAGAGCTGCCCAGTATGGTTTTGGATTGGGACAAATATTTAGTTAATGACTCGTGATTCTTAGTTAACGACTGCAATGGGGAGTGCCAGATTGCTTTCATATGTCAGTTCACTCATATGACAGTTTGCGTGCATGGACTTACAACATAAATCCTGGTCCCAATTATGGTCATAAATCAAGAATGACCTGTACCTTGTTATTTAGAAAACTACATGGATGTTTTCTTAATAAGAGTTAAGCTGAAGACTTTAAAGGGGGAAAAAATCATATGCACAAAATGTCAGCATATTGGCTACTGCAAAAATGGCTGGGATACTAGCCAAAATGGAAAGAAACAATGACAAAACCAGTTTGCCAAATCATCTGCTGCACCAAAAAAAGATACGCAGCTTATTAGAACCGTATCTGATGTTTCATTTAATGGAAATGTAATCATTATATGCCACTTCAGCTAATAAGTGAATGGTATCTTGGCTAAATTTCCTTGGCAGTGAATGGTCCTGTTGTATTAATACACACATAACCAAGTCAGGCATATTCCGGTCAGATCTCCTTATAATCACACTCTATATTTAGGCTTCAGACTCCTTGCCCATTTTCTCTAGGATACACTTAATAAAGTACTGATAAAAGTTTCTTGCTTTTCCTAGCTTCTTTCTATTGAACAGATATCCAGTGAAAGTCCTGACTCAGTCACCATAGCTGGTCAGTATTTGGGAACTGCCTTGTTCCATTAGACCTTTGCACTGAGTTTTCTAACAGAAACATCTATTTTTTTAAGCTGATTTTGTTTCTACAACACTTTTTCATGAAGAACTACTATAGATATGGAAAAAATGGGTATCTCACTGACTTAGCATTTTGATAACACAACTGGTTTTGTGAAATTTCAGTCTGGCGCTATATCTAACTCTTACAGGTTAATTAACAATCTGCTCATCCATTTAGTGTTCTCAGAGTAGATTAACCTCACACGTGAGCCAGTTAAACATGTTGGATGTCATCTATTCACTCTTGTGTATCTCCTCTTTGTGCAAATGAGAGCACTACAAGGGCTTTTTTCACTCTCTTGCCAAATTGGATTGCCTACCTGACATTGTCATGTATGATACCTGTCTAGACAGCATACTTCCATTTCAAATTAAAAAAAAAACTGTGGAAAACAACTTGCATTTATCAGAATCAGCAACAGTGAAGTGCTGTGGGAGGCAAGTTGCGAATTGTTATTTACAATCCTATTATTCTTTTGATATAGGAGTTTATCCTGTGATCTGAACATTGCAAATATTAATGAAGAATTAATCAGCCAAACTATGTACCAATTCCATAACACATTTAGAAGCATAAGCATACAATTTTTGTGCTATTCAGGCTGTAAATGTGGTCTGCCTTTTATCCCATTTAACAGATTTTATGCAGTTTGGCTCTTGAAAGAACTCAGTCACCTCTCTGAACAAAAATGTGTCTGTCAATTTTGCTGTTATTAGGGAAGTTTCAGTAGTGCTTCTTGATTACTTTCACTTTTACAATGCATTTTTTTAGAAATGGTTACAATAATTCTGAAAGATCATAATTTCAGGTCGTATTAGCTGAAATTCTGGAGGTTTGTTCAAATTTAATTATACTAGCAGGCTGGATTCATGACTTGCCTAAGGTAACTAAAGATCTGAGTTTATATTGAAATTAGAGATTTCATATTTGTTTTGCATAGGCATTGCATTATATTTCCCATTTTATAAATGGGCAGAAAAAGAAATAATATGGCTAAGCCATTATTCTCATCAGTTCAATACTCTTTTAGCAAGATGGCTTACGATAATTATTCCATTATTCATGTAAGAAAAATCCAGTCCAGTTCTAAGCCAGGAGAAGTAATAAAATGGAGACTGGATGATTGGAAAGAAGGTCAATTTATTTGGATGCCAAAAACTTCAGCAACAGCAACATGTTTCTGGGGTGACTGACATAATGTTGAGTGAGTGGATGGATCTTTATAGGGTTCTGGGATTTTTGATTGAGATATATTGGGGGGGGGGATTGTGCAATGTAGTGAGCCTAGTATCTTTTGCTATTCTAATGGTGGTGAGTAAATCTTATTATGTCCTATAGGTGATGTCATGTGCTTAGAATTTGGGTGGGGGGAAATAGATTTTAATCCCATCAACTCCAACCTCTTGTGAGTTTGGTTTATGAGTAGATTAGCCCAGTCTTCATGAATGGGTACAAAATCTCCATTCCAAAAGACCAGTCTCTTCTTTTTGAGGCTGTTTTCCTATGCAGGAAGGCTGGGGCTGCTTTCTGCCTTTAAGAATATGCTTACCCATTTCTCCTTTAGAGAAATATAATATTATGTCTCTTTTTAATATTAATAATAAAGAATATTTTAATCTGGGGTGGGGTGGGGCTTCCTACATTTAAAATAAACAATTTTAGTGCTGAAATTGTCTATGCAAACAACCAAACTGTTAGCTAAGACATTTTGCTGCTTGAAGTAGAGTAGCTAACTTTCTTAAGTTTCATATTTAGAAATTAATTATTAAATTATTTTGACATCTAAAGGAGAAAATCTTATAGACAAATCACTAAGCAAGCTTGTCATTGCAAGAAAACTATCTCCCTCTGTCCACTGACAAGTCCAATGGCAATACTGTCCCCAAACAAAAATGAATAAATAACTTTGTGCCTTTTAAAAAATCTTAACCAACGTATCATTGCATGAACTTTTATGAAATTATTTCTTCTATATGGTAATACTGAAAGCACATTTTGTTCCTTGCTTGCTAACGAAAAACAGGTCAGCTAGCCCAGCAGCCTTGTTTTTTGCTAATAATTGACAATGACTTTCTGGGAGCAGGTTAGCTGCAACTGCTACTATTCGGCTGTTTCTAGTTAGCGGGGATTAATTGAAGCATTGCTTTTATTTTTGCTGCCTTCTGCTTGGTTTTTAAATTTAAATTTAAAGGATTGTTATGTAGAAACTTTTGCTGATGAAATGAAGAAGTGAAAAAAAAATGGTAAAACGATGCACAATTTAATTGTACTCTCACCCACACTTATTTAAAATATAGACAAAATGTAGTGAAATTGTAATTTTATAATTGGAAAGAAAAAGGAGAAATTTTCGCGCAAATACTTCCAACATGTTTCGAAGCATTTTTTATTTCTAAAGACGAGAGGCTCCGAAAACCCCTTTCCAAATGTAACTAGATTTTTGCATTCATTTCCCCACTGATAAAATTAGTGAAACAAATACTCAATGATAAAAAATGTTATTTTAAAATAAAACCACCCTAAAATAACTTGTCCCCGGTTTTCCGGTCCCCTACTGCCTCCACACGAGATGAAAGTGGGAAGTCACGGATTAAAAAAAAACTGCAATTCCCATTAAGCTTTGCAACTCTCTTCCGCTCCACCCCCCCTAAGCGCACGGTGTTCTGCCCACGGGAGGTGAGCCAATGAGCGAAGTCAGGCACTGCTCAGGCAAGTAGCACGTGGAGAAAATGCTGCCCTATGGCAGGGCTGGAGCGCATCTAGCCATATGAGAAGAGGCAGAGGAGGCGGTGGCGGCGAGAGAAAAAGACGGAGAGGGAAGCAGCAGGAAGACTTGGACAAAGGCAGCGGGATCTACTTCACATTTAGGAAAGGCCTGGCCTGCGAAGGGCAAGGCATTTTAACCCTAAGGTAAGCGGGAAGGGGAGGGATTCGGGAAATATTGCATTCCTTTATTTTAAGCGCTTTTCCTAACTACATCTTTCACAGGGATGTGTGGGAAATAAGTGCGCTCCTCGGACTGCTAAGAAGATTTAAAACAAGGCACTTTTCTGGCTATGGTCGTTCGAGCAATTATTTTTCCTTTTAGCAGAGTTGAAACGAACGCAGCAGTTCTACAAATGCCCAATCGTTGAATAGAAGCGGTACCTGTTCACTTTTTGTTTAAAGTTCTGCTTCCCGGATGGTGCTTACGTAGCTAAAGAGTTACTGTTGCATTACATGTATTCAGCATCAAAAGTGCACCATACACTTTGGCAAGTGTATCTGTGGACTGTGAAACAAGTGGGCTGCAAGGCAATCCACTAATACGCACACTTTAACCCACGGAGTGGCAATTTATATTAATTGAGCAAAATATTACATGTTAATGGAAATTTCTCTCTCTTTCTAGAAACTTTTGATAATTAGTTAATAACATCATAAGATAGAGCGAAAGCAAGAAAGAAAAATCTAGAATAGTTTTCACTTCTGTGCTCTCCTACATAGGAAGGGGAAAAATAGGCTACGATTTCAGGAGTTAATGAAGTCATTTTTCTCTTTTCCTCAGTTTGAGAACTGGTGAATTATCTGTTGATATACATTTGAGGTTGAAAAAAGAAAACTGCTTTCTCACACACTTCTTTAAATCTGCAGACTTCCCAACCTCAAGGCATGGTGTTCATGGCTCACTTTCAAAAGCTTCAGGAAATCCTCACAAATATACAATACATAATTTGTTTTCTCTTTAAGAGCCTAACTATCCTTCATATTCTATGAATGTCTGTTTCTTAGGATTAAATGCTTGAGAGGGCAGCCCTTATGGAGGACTTTACTTCAGGCATTTGCCTCTACATTGAAGAAAAATACAGGATATATAGATATTTTGTGTTTGTAGCCCACCTTTTATTATTTTTATAAATTATTATAATTTATTATTTGTACATATAATTCAAGGTGGTAACCTATCCAACTTCCTCCTATTTTCCCCACAACGACAACCCAGTGAAATGGGTTGGACTGAGAGAGAATGGTTATCCCAAGGTGACCCTGTTGGCTTTCATGGTGGAGGCAGGACTCCATATAGACCATTTAATGTGACACAAAAAAGAATAGAGGAAATAGGTTTCTCCTGTTATGTTTTACCACACACCTGAAATATACTACATTGAAAAATTGGCCCAAGACAAAGATTTGTCTTCATCAACTTTCTACCCTTTCATAATGATTTTGCGTCTCTCTGTTAACTTTTTCCTATGTCTCAGAAGTATATTGATTGTCCTGCATTCTCTGAATGAGCTGATTGAAATCCAAGCCAAACGTTTTTATAGAACTCTAAAATCCCTCAATGAAAGACATGTGCAAAACACTACACAAGGAAGAGTTAATGAATATAATGCCTCTGAGAATGTGGTAGCTTGAATATTATTGAATATTGAATATTCTCTATTCAGTACTAGAACGAAGCAACGGGCTGATTTGGACTCTTCTATCCATGTTTGTTTCTGTGGATGGCATGTGACCTTTTAAAATATGTCCTTTTTAAATGTCACTGTTGTTAGGTGGGCAGGCATAACAATTTGCTTTTTATTTTGACACTTAAAATTGGCTGTTTTAGAGAGCCATGTCACTCTCTTAATGGTAGGTATTAAGTTATTAGGAATCTGCTACAAATCACAGATATCTATTTTGCCCTATCCTTATATCTCACCAATGTTGGCAGTTGCTCGCTGTTGACAAAAATCTACAGTGTGATAGAAGGAGTAGGAATAGGAAGCTTTAGTGCAAAACCATTAATTACCATTAAAAACCATTAATTACCCTGAAATCTACAGGGAGTTGATTGTGTCCAAACAAAAGCTTAGTAGATCTCCAAAATCTCTGCTGAAAATATTTTTCTTAGAGGGACATCATTTTAGTGAACATTTTTTGGCCGAGAATCTGATTTGCAAATATATCTTGCAAATCATGACTTCTTCCAAGAGAACCTCATGCATTTTTCCTCCAAGCAACAATTCTTTCAAATTTTCTAAAGCCTCCTTGCCCTGGAAAAGTTGAACACGTTTACAGTGGTTAGAATGCAGTGTTGCAGGCTAACTGCCCAGAATAGGAATTCAATTCTGACCGGTCAAGGTTGATTCGGCCTAATGAGGACCCAGATTGTTGGGGACAATATTATGACTCGCAATATATAAGTCTGTAAATCGCAGTATTATTGCTATTTCTATTTACCAAACATGGAGAAGCTTTCTTATCCCTCTAACTCTCTGTCTTCTGAGAGGAATTTTGGTATATAACCTGTTCAACAGTAGGAATCAACTTTTTTATTTCTGCCAGCCTTTACAGGTAGGCCAAACAAGAAACAGACCAGATAAACTAATTCTACTTTATTGTAAGGTTGCATTCATAGGACCTTGCAAGTCTAAAAGTACAAATCTTCTGTTGTCTCTTTCTATAGCCGAATTACTTAGGGAGAATCCTTTTTGAGTGTCTTCTTTTCTTATGCAGCCGTGGGCTCCCCCTCCCACTATTTGATTGTTCCCTAGGCACATTTGAAGGTCCCTTACTATTACAGTTTCAGGGGTCTTGTGATGAATTTCTTACCTCTTGTTTCAAATTAACATAATACCATTGTCTCTTGTCTTAAAAATAGTGGAACAAAAATCATAGGGAGAAAGGTAAATATTACTGAGAAGTTCTTTAAACCTATATCAAATACCTGTGTGTAAAACTGATATCATTAACTTTTTCATCATAATGTCACATATAAACATGGAACAAGGGTTTTCAATCCTGTTTCCCTGAAAATAAGACCTTCCCGATAATAAGTCCAATTGGGCTTTTGAGTGCCTGCGCTAAAATAAGTCCTTCCCCCCAAAATAAGCCCTCCCCGAAAATATTGCAACACAGCAGCAGCCATGAGGTGACTATACTTGCTGCCTCCTGCACCTCAAAAATAATAAGACCTCCCCCAAAATAAGGCAAAGCCCTTATTTCAGGGGTCAAAAAAATAAGACCCTGTCTTATTTTTGGGGAAGCAAGGTATGTGTATAATTTACCCACACCCCTTTAAGACAGATTAAGCAGTTATCAGTTCCAATGAGGAAACCTAGGAATTATAGCTAATGGAATTTGTAGGGCTATAATTTTAGGAATGGCTGCCTTAAAATAAAAATCTGATGGATTTTTGTGTATAAGAAAGCTTTTGGGAATGGCAGAAAAAGAAAATAATTGATCTTTTTCCTTGTGTTGTTTATCCACATGTCTAAGCAAATTTGAAGCAGCTGAAATAACCATTAGTTTATTAAGTCACACATCCGTGTGTGGTATGTCACTTAGTTTAATCACTGTACCATTTTATTCCGAGTCCAGTATTTTTGGGTTTGTGCTGATTCTTGTCAGTTTCTGTGTTGCTCGGTTGTATTTAGTCCTTCCATTGAAGAAAAAACCAGGAACCATTTTGATGAAACCTTAAAGCTTGCAATGAAATGCTAAAGGGGTCCATGCCTTTTCTGCTTTGTTTAAAGACATGAGCAAACCCTAAAATGTATTTTAATATGATATTAAGTAGTTGCACTCCTAGATAATAATTTAAGCTCTTGATTCCTGCTTTGCTCAACTAATTGGAATGTAGCAGCATAGAAACAGATGTAACTAATAGTACAAATAACTTTTTAATTAATTAATTTATATTTTCAAATCATACAGAGTGCAATCTCATTTTATTCAAATTCTAGTTTATAGGGTGCTTTTCATTATCTATCCAAAAATGGATTGTATCTATGGCTTATTAAATCAGAGAAATGTTAAATCCAACCAAGTTAAAGCCATGTTGTTTAAGCTTCTGAATCAAACAAAGGAAGTTTGTTTAGATAATTTCTGGAATCTTCATTATCTTCTGATTGCTGTCATTCATTATAGCTATATTAAAAAGCAGTAATATAGCTCTATTATGGCCTTGGCCTTAATTCAGTTAATAATGAATTTCAATCATTTAAAATTTTAATTTATATATATAAAATCATTATATATATAATGATGGAATTCAAATGATGTTGCTAGAATGTACTATTCATTTTTAACTGAATTCTGAACTTATTTGACACAGCAGTTGTTTTATAACTGATTTTAAATTTATTTCCTTAATTTCCAATTGCTTGATTATTTTTTATGGTTTATAAGATATTCTCAGTCATTTTACATGTATGTATTAGGAATGAAATTATATGTATTTAATATAAATATCACTAAAGTTGAAAAATATTTTAAATATGCATTTTCCGGAGTTTTTAAATCTTTAGTCTGACTCCATAAAGCTCTATTATCTATTTTTCTATCTGGATTCCATTGTTGGCAACATTCTTGGAAACATGGCATAAATTACTTATTTATGAGTTCCAATTCAATCCCCATTTTGATGACAACAATACTGCTCTAACTATCTTGACTCTTGAGAAGACTGGCCTGGGTAATTTTGCCCTTACCTTTTTGTCAAGTATATTTTTTTCCTCCCGAACAATGTGGTTTTTTTTGTGCTAAATGATCTTGACAAATACTACATTCTTTCTGAATTTGGGATCGTGGTATTTTAACTCTGAGGAGGAAAAGGCCTCTTGTGGACAGGTTATATCACCACTCATACTAGCCACTCAGATGAGTGTAATACTTCACTAGATTGGTTGTCTAAACCTTTATTCTCTTGTCATCTGTGCCATAACAAAACAAAGACTTGACTTTATTACCACTTTCCCTGAAGTCATTCTTTTTAAAAAATATATAATTTTATTTAATTGGTAAAGAAATATAAACAATGAACCAAGAAAAGAAAACTGGAGAGAACAATGGGATATTATTTCCAGTATTAAGAACATTAGCAAAGAAACTTCTGTATTCATATTCTGTTGTATCAGTACTTTTGTTAAAACTGCTCTTCT